TCTCTCTCTCTCTCTCTCTCTCTCTCTTTCACACATGCATGCTTCAAAAGTGTGTTCCTACGAGAGATAATCAAAGTGAAGAAACTTGCATTTTTCCGCAGGTTTGTGAATTTTTTTCAAAATTTTGTTTTTGGGCTCAACACCTTTCATGCCCATTAAAGTACTAATTTCTGTCCGAATTTTTCTGATAAACGTTATTCAAAGACACCAAAAAATGAAATTTTTTCTATTACCACGGACTCTTAAGCTAAGGAAATAACTAGTCTTTGGCGGCAATTGTGTCACTAATTTTACCCCTGAAAACAGGTAACCCCGCCTTCTTCATTCGCAAATATCTAGACTTGTATTCAAGATAAATGGATATTTTTTTCATCCAAATAAGGACAAGGGAACAAGCTTTAAGAAGAAACCAATAACTCTACATGCCCCAAAATTGACGAGAGCCTGATTCCACCACGCTGCCTCACATATCATATTCCCCCGCTCGACCTTATAACTCCGTTTCAAAGTAAGATGTTCGCCCTATCAAAAGAACAGAACAATCCCGATTGCAATATGTTCACAACACACAATAAAACGTATGCTTGAGACAGTCAAAACATAGCACAATAATTCCGATACGTTCCCATAACTTCCCTGCTGCTCAAACCTCACCGTGAACTGTAAAGAATGTTGCCATTTGGGTAGACATGCATGAGCTTGTTGGGCACTGTCACCTCATGGAAAGATGCTCTCTTCTCGTTTGTGAAAAATAAATCGGGCACCCAAACCTGAAACGAAAATTATGAATTATCTTCTAAAGGTCTGCCTGATTGTATAATAATATTATATGTTTTTTGACTGTTGACCAATCTTCCGATAGCCGCGCTCATATGACCTTATGCCGCTTCGAATACTGATAAATGTTTACCAAAGTGAAACCATCCGGTGCTTCTCTGTTTGTATCTCACCCTGTCTGTCCACCTGCCTTCCTATTTAAATCAACCGACTGACTTTCAGTCTCCAAAGCGGCCATTTGATCTACCAGACAGTTCTATTTATTATTTCCGCCCTAATCACTCACGGCCTGTCTGATTGTCAGTTTGTTTTTTAACCTGCGAGTACGTGCGACTGCTTGTCAAGTAAATCATTTGTCTCATCTGTCTGCTTGATTGTGTCTAACAGTTTGTCTATTTTTCACTCGAAGAACATAATACCTATTCTGGAATAAATACATGTGGAAGTCGAGCGAGGAAGACAGAGATCTAACAGATGGTAGCAACAGGACAAAGAAACCTGGCATGGAACCAAAGCAACCCAGGCAGGCAGAATGGCAAGACACAGAGTGTTTTATTACAGAAAGGTTCGGGACTCATCCCCCAACTTAACTGGAAAAGAAAAACCTAGCCTAGGAAAAGTACTCAACCCCGATGCAAAGACTTTGGGTAGCTCCAGGCAAAAAAAACAAATACCTTGTCCACGAATGTCCTTCAAGCAATTCGTTTGTCAGTCTGAACATTACCTGTCTGTTTCCATGAATGTCTGAGGTGTAGAAGTAAAGCTCTACCCTATCGCAGGCAGAAGACCTGCGTTCGATTCACGCGTGGCCAAATTTTCTTATCGAGTACAGTAGTCTCCGCCTAAGATCCCGGTCCTCAGGAGCAAGGAAAATACGGGATCTTAGGCGAACTAGGAATGGCCAGGGGGAAGACTCCACAGCAAATCATGATCAGACCCAAAATCTGTGCAATGATCTGCCCTTACGTTAAAATGAACGTATGTGACTCCTGGGCATTAACAGTAAGTAAAAGTTCTTTTCAGAAAATCTGTCTTTCTGCTGAGACGTTGTAACTCCGCCCAGGTCGTCCTGACAGACAGGGTCGAAGCTTGATTTCACAGTGATTTAAATTGTATCAATGAGTGCACCAAAAAGCCTTCAATATTTCTTTTAAAGTTTGTTTCCCTAGTAATCTCACCTCTCCCATGACTCGAGTATCAAGCTCTAACATATCCACTCCAGGGAGCTTGTTGTAAGTCATGCGCTGGTCCACCCACGTCTGTCGCAGGAAAATACTGACAGAGTAATCCTGTAAATACAGACAGAGACGTGAACTAAAACTTGAGCAGGTCGTAAAACGAAGTAAAAATGTCGGGCTTTGTGGTGAAATAAGGCGCTCGTCAAAATAAAGAAATCGAAAAAATCGATTGTTCCCACCCGTTGGGCAATTAGTATCGATTCTTCATGACTCCAGGCAGGCGAACACGTTTTTACGACGATACAAATAATCCCACATGTCTAAAAATTGACGAGTGCCTGTTTCCACCGCGTCGTTATTGTAGTCGTCTAATTAGAAAGGGCGTGCAAGAATGCACACCGCAAAGTTCACATGGAGTTGCCTGCAGAAGAATAACAAAGTCTCCCTAAGATTGAATCCACATCTGAATCACGTGGAACGTACTATGTTTTCTGGGGTGCTCTTTAAAGACTGGTTGCAAATGTCCACCCGAAGCCGCGAATTGTCCTAAAACTACAAGAGGCTACACAGAGTTGCTGGAATAACGCGCCCTCCCCCCTCCCCCCCCCCCCATTTTTCGTTTGAGAAGGACACTTAAAATTTCCATGACAAGAAGATGGCCTCAGGTCGTTATCAGCAACGGCGGACATACCAGTCATTAAATACATGAATGAAGCAGGACATACCTCCGGTGTGCAAATGTTAGTTTAAAAATGTATTTAATAACTACAGATTTATGTACCTAACCGCATTAAGCCTATGGTCTCTACTAAGATTTCACGTGCAGTTTTGCTCAGATTCATGAAAGATTCTGCATTGGTTTTTTAGCAATGTCTCCTCGGTCAATAAATGTTGCGTGCAGCTCAAAGAAGAGACACGACGTGTACATATTGCATGCACTAGTTTCAACAAAGAGCAATACCTTTTAGAACCATAAAGTTTTCCCTCCTTGTTTTTCTGGTTTAGCCTACTTCAATTTAGCCTACTTCAAGTTAGCCTACTTCAATTTAGCCTACTTCAATTTAGCCTACTTCAATTTAGCTTACTTCAATTTAGCCTACTTCAATTTAGCTTACTTCAATTTAGCCTACTTCAATTTTCTTCCTTCGCCTTCCCCTAGCCGCCCCCGGCCCCCCTAAATCTATCACTTACGTAACTAACTCCCCTCCTCATCTCCCTCTCCCCCCT